GAGGGAAACGTATCTCAAACACTTATATTGGCTTCGAAATCAAATATTTGGCTTCGAAGCCAAGCTTTGGCTCCAAAGCTAGATGACAAACATCCAGCTAGGGCTTCGAAAGTAGGTAGTTGATTTCGAAGCACGTTTCATACCTAAGAGTACAAAATGCTCAAGTCTTGCTTTGCTTCAGGGGTATTAAAGACTTGTTTTTACGTTTCTTGTTGAAAATAAAGTCTTTCGAAGTAAACTTTGAAATACTCTGCAACTAGAATTTGTTTGTTTTAGATTTCGAAGTTGTAAAAAGCTAATATTTGGTTAAGCAGTGAAAAAGCCCAAAAGGACTCATTCTTTAAGAATAAAACAGTGCAGTCCCTAAGGGAAGTTTCTATACTTCGAAAAATGTAGACTATTTTTTTGAAGCAAAAATAGTTAATTCGAAACTGTTGATTGTGTTAACCATATGATTGGAATGAGAAGACCTAAGGCAAAGATTGTCAATTATACTTCATATGTTGGAGATATTCAAATTAGGTTTTCAGTATTCCATTAGAAATGTTCAAATCAAGTTTCGAAGGACAAAATTGGTAAATTCGAAGCTATGATTTTGTTTGATTTGGGCGAATAGAATGGTTACAAGTATGCAATTGGAATATAAAATCAGACCATGTCGAATAAAGAAAGAAAAACTTAGTTTTATTAATATGAAAGTAATTACATTAGAAAGCCTTCTTGGCTGCAAATTCAATTTCATAAAAATAAGGAATATAAATAATAACAAGGTCATAGAATTTGTTCCAACAGTGGTCAATGAATTTATGTTCCTTTTTTATTCTGTCCTCTATCCTCTCCAAGCTGGGTTGTCGTAGCTGATATTTTCTTATTTGATGAAAAAATTGTTCAGCTTTCATTTCAAACTCTATTTCTTTCAATCCTTGTTCCATCTCATCCATATTTAGATCATCCTAGTATGCAGAATCTTTATTCTTAAAGTCATTATATTCGTCGATAAGATTCTTTGCTTCATACTGGGTGTGAATTCAATGGGCTGAGATTTTGTCCAAAGATTGAGTGCTAGCCAAAGAAGTTTGGTGCCAATGGAGAAGCAATGGGACTTAATCCAAAAACATTTGAAGTTCTGCTTGAGCAATGGGGTTGAGGACGTGACCCTGAGTCATAATGTCACAAGCCCATCGAAAGTTCTGAAGAGGAATATCACCTCCAAGAACATTGAAGGGCAAGGGAGAAAAAGCTGCAAGCAGAAGTTGAGCTTGATATCACTCAAATATAGTTGGAAAATCTGGAGGTTGGCAGGAAGGAAGAAACTAATTCTCAAAGAGAGTAAGTCTCAGTTCTTCCATCTAGTGAGGGTTTTGAGGAAGAGGAGGTGCATGAGGGTCTATCCCAAATGAATAAGGGAACTGGGGGTTATTCACACATTTAAGCTAGTCAGAAGAGCAAAGTTTTGCCTTCTTGGCTAAGAATGACGGGTTGTATCCTTGTGCTTCCTCTGGACGAGGAGTTGCTCGCACTATCTTCGTAGGCATAGAAGATGTGTACCACGCTATAAGTAAGTTGTCTTCCAAACTGCGTTGGCGATTGATGGATGCATAGAGGTAAACCACCAAGATCCGAGCAAAATGGAGGAAAGACAAAGGATCAGCGAATTTGACGAATTGATGGTTAATTTGCTCTCTTAGCTTGGATTCATCAGGTTCTGGCCAGCTTCCTCATCCAATAGACTTGGAGGAAGAAGGAGCAACCGTGTCCCATGTAGAGGTTGGTGGGGTAGAGGACGAAGTAGCTGTGCCCCATGCAGAAGATAATGGGGCAGACGAAGATTTTCCAAGATCCATTTTTGCAAATGCTTGATCTAAGGGTTCGTAATTGGCGAACTTCGAGTCTAGACGTTGGTACGTTGCGAAAGCTTCCATAACTTGCATAAATAGAGGCGGATATGTGTAATCAATAAATGTCAGATTCTTTCAAGGCCTATAATCATTTTCCATTGACTCCTTGTATGATTGATCAATGTAAGAAAAGGTTTGCTTGGCCATGAGGATTGTATCAGTCTTTTCGAATGCTCAGATAGTGGGAAATGTTCAAGGTGTAGAAGAGAATTTAATGCCATACAAACATTACAATGATGGACGTCGGTTGCAGTTCTAAGAAGATGCAAAGCCCATGCACGTCCTAGGACGTGGGTAAAGTGCCTTGATTCACTAATATCACCAAGTATTGGTATATTAGTGCGGGGGGTAATGTTGGCTGTATAATTTGTAAAAGCCAATCACAATTCAACACGTGGCATGAAAAGGGCAATTTGGGGAATTAATACCAGTTGCCAACCATAGTCAGACACGTGTCAGCCCATATTGATAAAAATGGGTCTGCGTAGCACTGAAACGATCGAGGGATATAAGGTGATGTGTCTAACGTTTACTCACAAAGTTCAAATTCAAAATCAGAAGGGAGGCCTAACTGTAAATGTGGCGTAGTGGGACTGACTGTGAGAGAACATGTTCAACAATCATGAGAGGACATTTCGACGGTTAAAAACCCACTTCAACGGTTATCATTGAGAAGTATAAATAACAGAGAAGGCCCCAGAGTGAAGGATCCAGACCCAGATCAAAAAACCAGTTTTATTTACTTTGTTTTCCCTTCCAATTTTTATAGTTTTTTACATTTCTGTACTTCAAATTTCTGTACTGCATTTCATTCATAGGAGTAGTTTCAAATAACTTGTTGCTGTAAATCTCTACGAGGCTGGGTCATATCATTGTAAGTTTTCATTTTACTTAATGAAATTCTGAAATTATTCTTCACTTAGTTGTTATTTAATAAAAGTCCTCTTCATTGAGGTTGAAAGAACTAAAACACAGTCGTCTAATAATTGGTTGACAATTAATCTTCTATAAGAACTGATTGATCCTTGCTGGCACGCTTAAAATTATAGTACTAACCTTCGAAAGTCAAAAAAACCAACAACATCCAACAATTTTTTGATTGGCATTTAATTTTTTGGGTTTCATTTAATAAGATTAATTAGTATATAAATTAGTAGCCAAAAAATTCCAAAAAAAATGTTCAACAGTAATTGTCCTTAAGATTTGCCCATTGTATTAATTTGTTCTATCTAGTTCCAATCATAGCAAATTTGCCCCATAATCTTACAGTTTGTCTTTAATTTGTCCAAATTGAAAATAATTCGGAGCTTTTTACGGCCAAAAAAAAAAAAATTTAATAAATAAATAAAACAAAACAAAGCTACTCGAGAGAGACATAATAGAAATTAATACATACTCTTAGAAGACCCACTCTCCACTAACTTCTTTTACTATAACCAATCACTATAATGACAAGTGATAGTGATGAGAAGGTAAAGGTGATGGGAGTGGTAGTGATAATGGTTGTGCCAACTATGGCAATGATAGAGTGACAATAATGGTTGTAGCCATGTGGTGTCGCCAACAATAGTGATTCTGTTATGGTAAAGTGAGCGAGAGAATGGTGGCAGTGGTTCTGAGTTACAACAAATACTTCAGCTTTGCCCCTTCCTCCTAGCCACTGCCTCATCAAAGTCTAATTTTTGTTGTCTAGGTTTTCTAATTTTTGTTGTCACTATTTTTTGCACCTTTTTCATTGCATAATGAGTTTTTCCTTTTTTGGTTTTTTCGTTTTCCTATTATGCCAACTAATAGATCTCTAAAAACATTTCTATCTTCAAATCAAGCTATGATGAGATCCTTAGGTGCCTTTGTTTTTTAATTTGATTTTGATTTGGTATTTGTTCACAATACTATTTTGGGTTTGTTTTTAAACATCTGTATTCCAAGCATTGTTGTTTAAATCATATGAGAGCTCCTTTATTCAGATTTGTATTTGTCTGCTTGCTTCTCTTTTCTTTTCTTTTTTTCTTTCTTCTATTTGTTTTTTTATTCTTTGTCTTGGACTTTGTTGTTAACCATTTAAAGTGAACTTTTTTTGGGTAAATATTTAGAGTGAAGTTTTTGGCATTAATATTCTTAATTTGATTTTCTTGGGAAAATTAAATCTTTGAGGACTGTTTGAGGATTAAAAATGGAGTGTGAGGCTAACTGTGAGTTTAAGGACATATTAGATGTTGATAATTTAGGAATATGCTTCATTTTTGTTGAGGAGTGCCTTTAGGCACAGGTCTTTCGCTACGTTGTTTTGATATGTTCTTCTTTTCGGTAATGTCTTTTTCTCACAGAAATGCTTATTTTTTTTCCTTCTTTTTTGGTGAGATGCTAAATTTTTTATTTTGTCACAAAAGTACTAATTTTAAAAAAAAAAATTAAAAGAGGTTCAACAACCTTCCAAGTGTTGACATCACAGTTTTTTTTTTAGTCCCAAGATGGTTCTTGAATAAAATTCTTATCAACTGGGTATGGTTTTTGAAGTATTTTTATTTTTATTTATTTATTTAACAATTAAAATATTAGTAAGATTAAGACTATAAAACACTTGATGCTTCATAATATTAGTACTATTATTAAACTTTTATTTGATGTTACCAGTAAGTTGTGTTTTGTCAAGTTTTTATGTGGCTTATAAGCTGCCATTTTGGCTTATTACAAAAAAATGTGCAAAAAGTACAGAGATAATGTGACTCAAATAAGCCAATAAGTCAATAAAATGGCTTATAAGCCACTTCCCAAAATGGCCCTTGGGTTACGGATTTGGTTGATCAACATGTTTTGGCTTTTGTAGATTTTGTGGATGATTTGATTTTTTAGCTCTTTTTTTTTTTTTTTTTGGATAAATAAACAACTACTAATAAGAAAGCATCAAGATGATGCAACAAATACAAGACGGCCTTCCCAATAGGTGAAAACATAAAACAAGCACTAACCAATCACATCATCTAAAAAATCTAAAAGACAAATCGATCCGAGTCAACCTTCCCCTCCAACCAACTATACATAACTACAAGAAGATGATTCTCTAACCAAGAGACACCATGAGAAACCTCTAAAAAGGTGCACCTATTCCGCTCCAACTAAACAAGCCACGTCAAACCAAACGGCGCCAACAACCACACCGGCCGACGCCCAAGTCGAACACCCTGCCAAACCCAAAGTAATTCCAACACCCTCTTCAATTGAACCCAAGCAATCCCGAAGAGTAACCAAACGAAACCCCACAATCGTGAAGCCACCGAACAATGAAGAAACAAATGGTCCACCGACTCTGCATCAGCACAACACATACAACACTGATTCACTAAAACATGCCCCTGTGAGAATATGTGTTCTTCTCGGATTAGGAATAAGTGTCCTATGTCTATTAGACTTCTATATATCTCAGTAATGTATTCATGTAGAATTAGTGGTACTCTATATAAATGATGTATGTATTCTTTGTTCAAATTAATTCAAGACTAATATACAGTTTTATTCAGAAAACTCATGGTAAGTTTTCTGAATAAAACTGTATATTAGTCTTGAATTAATTTGAACAAAGAATACATACATCATTTATATAGAGTACCACTAATTCCTCATGAATACATTACTGAGATATATAGAAGTCTAATAGACATAGGACACTTATTCCTAATCCGAGAAGAACACATATTCTCACACCCCCGCTCAAACTCAAGGTGTTTTAGCAGAAAACACTGAGAGTTTGTCAAGAAAAAACCGAAACCGAGCAGTGGTGAGTCTTAGTGAAGAAGTCAGCAAGTTGCAGAGCCGAAGAGACAAAAGGAAGCGAGATAAAGCCAGACTGCAGATGCTGGCGGACGAAGTGACAATCAATCTCAATATGTTTTGTCCGTTCATGGAAGACTGTGTTATGAGCAATTTGAATAGCACTTCGGTTGTCACAATAGAGAGAGGTTGGGGAAGATTGAGGGACGCCCAACTCAGATAAGAGCTGACGAAGCCAGACAATTTCAGCAGTAGCATGAGCCATAGCACGATACTCAGCTTCGGCAGTAGAACGGGCAACAACAGGCTGTTTCTTGCTTTTCCAAGAAATTAGGGAATCGCCAAGAAACATACAGAAACCAGAAGTAGATTTACGATCATTAACATCACCAGCCCAATCAGCATCAGCATAAGCCACCAAGTCTAAGGAAGAAGTAGAAGAGAACAGCAAGCCCTGAAAGATAGTACTGCGAAGATAACGAAGAATCCGAAGCAAAGCAGCCCAATGTGTAGAGCGAGGGGCAGAAACAAACTGACTAATCACATGGACAGCATAGGCAAGATCAGAACGAGTAACTATCAGATAGACTAAGCAACCCACAAGCTCGCGATACAACGTAGGATCATCTAGAGGAACCCCATCAGTAGTGTTGAACTTTACATTAAGTTCAATGGGGGTATCAGACAGCTTAGTGTCAGTAAGTCTGGCACGATGGATAACCTCGTTAGCATACTTAGCCTGGGACAGAAAGTAACCCTTGGGAGAAGAAGCCACCTCAATGCCAAGAAAATACCGCAATGGTCCCAGATCCTTCATTTCGAAGGTGCGAAAGAGATGCTGCTTGACCTCAGAGATAGCAGAAGAGTCAGAGCCAGTGATGATCATATCATCTACATATAGTAAGAGAGCAACAAAACCAGCCGAGGTATATCTTAGAAATAAAGCAGAGTCGGAAGCAGAAGGATGAAACCCAAGCTCGGTAACAGCAGTCTGAAAGCGATCATACCAAGCACGAGGAGACTGCTTCAGACCATATAGAGCACGCCGAAGACGACAGACTTGGCCAGAGGAATGGTGAAGACCAGGGGGAGGACGCATATAAACCTCCTCAGTGAGAGTGCCATTAAGAAAAGCATTCTTAACATCCATCTAATAAAGAGGCCAAGAACGAACAACAGCGACAGAAATCAAAGTACGGACAGTAGTCATCTTGGCAACAGGAGCAAATGTTTCCTCATAATCAATACCATACTCTTGGGAGAAACCTTTGGCCACCAGACGAGCTTTGTAGCGCTCAAGAGAGCCATCAGAATGAGTCTTGACTTTGTAGACCCATTTGCAACCAACTAGATTCTTACCAACAGGTAAAGGAACCAACTCCCAAGTACTCGTTTTCTGTAGAGCAAACAACTCATCCTCCATAGCTTGAACCCAATGAGGATCCTGACAGGCCTCCTTGTAAGACTGAGGTTCTGCAAAAGAGTGAATAGCAGACAAAAAGGTACGATAGGAAGCAGAAAAACAAGTATTAGACCAACCCAACCTTTGTGGAGGATGACGCGCTCGAGGAGGATATCGGTGTGCAGCAGGATCAGAGTCGTCAGAAGCAGGAGGATCAGCAGCAGGGGTAGAGACAACTGGTAGAGGAGGAGCCTTGCGACGAGAATAAACTAACAACGGAGGAGAAGAAGAAAGAGAAGGAGAAGGCGAAGGAGGAGGCGAAGGAGGAGAAGTAGTCAGAGGTGAAGCAGAAGGAGAAGATGGAATAAGCTCAGGAGGAACTGTGGAGATGTACTCATCAGATGGGACCTCAGAAGGAAATGGATCAATATGAACCAAATCCTCTTTGGAAACTGGGGCAGTGAGAGGAGGAAGCTGAAAGTAAGATAGACGTTCGAGAAAGGCAACATGGCGGGAGACATAAAGGCGACGAGAAACAGGGTCATAACATAAAGTATTCCCCACCCAAGTCAGACCGCAACAATTTAATAGTAGATCCAAACTGTGTAGTGACCATAGACTGGAAAGTACGATATATTTTGTAGAAGTCAGACTTATGAGTCATAAGATAGACCCACGTGTAACGGGTGCAATCATCTACAAAAGACACATAATATACTGAACCCCCTTTAGTAAGAACAAGAGAGGGTCCCCAGACATCAGTATGCACAAGAGAGAAAGGAGAAACAGAAATAGACGTACTTTTATTAAAAGGTAAAGCTGACATTTTAGCAAGTTTACACCCCCGACATTCATCAATTCGACTAGGAGAAACTTTACCCAACAATCCTGACTGAGCTAAAGACCGTAAGCGGTCAACAGACAAATGACCAAGACGAGAATGCCATAAGTAAAGCTGACTCGACTGAGAATCTAATTGAAACGAGGAAAGTGCAGCTGGAGAGGTGGATAAGGGGAGATGCAAGCTTTCAACCACATAGAGCTCTCCAATTCTACGGCCGATCCCAATCTGCTTCTTGGACACCCGATCCTGCACACAACAGACAGAAGAGGAAAAGATAACATCAAAACCAGACGCATCAAGTTGACTGATAGATAACAAACTGACGGATAACTGAGGAACATAAAAGACAGAAGGAAGAGTAACAGTAGACATGGCAGAGGGTAAGACAGACCCAACAGATAAAACAGACATACCAGATCCATTAGCAGTATTAATAGTAATAGGAACGGGTGGGGGAATACAATTTTGAAGTAAGGAAAGGTGAGGAGTCATATGATGTGAAGCACCAGAATCAAAAATCCAAACAGAAGAAGGGATACCTGAAGAGGACCCAAGCAAACCTGAATGAAGAGAGGTAAGAGCGGAGGCAGATGGGGAGGACTAAGAGGTGGACAAGATATGCTGAAGTTGTGCAACCTGAGCACTCAGGGAAGCCAAGTCAGGATCGGGAGCCGGAGTAGATGCAGTGTAAGCAGCAGGAGGTCGGAAAGTACTCTAAGTAGTACCGCGGAACTGTGTCTGAGAAGACGGAGCAGGCTAACGTCCCTTTTTAGGACAATTGTTCTTCCAATGACCCCTCTGATGGCAGAAAGCACACTCATCTAGCCCTAATGGTCCTCTCTTGGGTTTTGCAGTGGCCTGAAGTTGATGAGAAGGAGGGGTCGATAACAAGGGCGGCTTGGGAGGAGCCAAGAACACAGAAGGAGGCAAAGTCTGACTGGCCGTCTTAAGACGGGTTTCCTCGGAGAGGAGTTCACGAACAATAGCATCCACAGAGGGAAGAGGAGATCGGTGAAGGATGCCACGTCGAATAGCCTCATACTGAGGGGAGAGAGCTGTTAAGAACTGGACTAAACGACCCTGTTCCCGAAACTCAATATAAGCGTCTAGTATCTTGAGACTAGGTGGTTCCATAAGAGCCAACTGATCCCAAAGACCTGTCATCTCAATATAAAAGTCCTGAATAGTTTGATCCCGCTGACGAGCACCCTGAATAGTTGTTTCCAACTCATACCGCTTGGCAAAATTGGACTGCTGATAGACACCGAGTAAATAATCCCACACTTCCTTGGCAGTACTGTACTTGGAAAACATCATTCCAATACGGTCATCCACAGAGTTATGAAACCAGGTAAGAACTTGAGCATTATCACAATCCCAAGTATCACAGGAAGACAGATACCCTTCTACTTTTGGGTCCGATGGACGAGGAGCAGAACCAGAAACATAGCCCCATTTTTTTGACCAAGAAGAAAATTCTTCATAACACTGGCCCAATAGGCATAATTGCCACCATTGAGTTTACATTTAATGGCTTGAATTTTAGGGTCCATTATTGTAATAAACTAAAGATTAATGGGTCAAAGAGGAATAAGGGTTTTAATACTATTGATAACAAATCACCGAGACAGAGACAGAGAGATGAGAACCAGAGTCGCGAGAGAGAGTCGCAATGATGAACCGAGATGAAGCCACAGAGAGAGAGAGAGAACCAAAGTCAGAAAATCGCGAGAGGGAGTTGCGATGATGAACCGAGATGAAGCCGACGAGGACTGAGAGAGATACAATGATGCAAGGGCGATAATTGATCGCGATTTACAGTCGATGGGTTGCGACTGAACAGAGAGGCTACGGCTGTTAGGGTTTCGACTCTGCAAGAAGGCACGAAAGAGGCAGAAACAGACAACCAGCAGGTTGTGACGATGGGTCTTGACCTGAACCCAGATGGATCGCGATGGACAGACGAATCACGATGGATAGGTTGATTTCGAACCAGACGAAAACGAACAGAGATGGTTGCTAGGGTTTTGAATCCTTCAGATTAGGGTTTCGAACCAAGCTCTGATACCATGTAAGTTTTCTGAATAAAACTGTATATTAGTCTTGAATTAATTTGAACAAAGAATACATACATCATTTATATAGAGTACCACTAATTCTTAACCCTACATAAATACATTACTGAGATATATAGAAGTCTAATATTGTTAAATATTTTTTCTTCACTTTTTATGCATTATTGTACATTATAAAGTATTTTGTTATAGAATTCTTCTTTTTCTTCACCTTCTTTTTTGATAAAATATAGAACTTTTACCATCGAGTTTTCTATTGCATAATATTATATGTACATATTACATGGAGTATTATATTTTTCACAATATCTGCACTTCTTTTTAATAAAATATAGGTTCATTTTGTGTATACTTTATAAGAAATATTTATTTAAATAAAATTATTATGTAATTTGTCTTTTTCGGTAGGATCTTACGATCCTCGATCCGATTCTACGATCCGATCCTATAAACACGTCCAACGATCCAACGTAGGATCCCGATTTTAACAACCTTGATTGATGCCAAAATATTTTTTTGAAGGTGTGAATGAGTTTGAAGCCAGATGGATTGGGTGGGCTGGAGTAAATGTACCTGATGAAATTGGACAGAGAACTCACTAAAGCACTTGCTGAAAAGGTTAATAGAACTTGCTTCCATCCTAAAGTCTTCATCTAAGAAGTACGGACATGGCCACGGTGTAAGTTTTCTGAATAAAACTGTATATTAGTCTTGAATTAATTTGAACAAAGAATACATACATCATTTATATAGAGTACCACTAATTCCTAACCCTACATGAATACATTATTGAGATATATAGAAGTCTAATAGACATAGGACACTTATTCCTAATCCGAGAAGAACACATATTCTCACAGCCCCCGCCGCATCAAATTATCCAACGTAAGATTCCGTCCTAAAGCTGTCATGCACATGAAGAAAGCAACCTTTGACAAAACCCCCAGCACTCAAACACTCTTCCAAGGAAAAATCCTTCCACAATCCCCAACCAAACCCCAATATAATGACGCAACTGTGAACCGCCCCCTTGTCGCCACCCCATTCCACACCATAACATCTTGTCCCACCCCAGTAATCCCCAAACCATATAAGAAACCCCACAACTCCACCAACTGAGCAACCTCCCAATCCTGCACCTCACGCCATAACTAAATATCCTAAACCACCACACCTCCACCTCCCAAATAAGAAGCCATCGTAGCCTCCAGATCAATCACAATATTAAAAATCAAAGGAAAGCGAGTCCCCAACAAAACCCCACCACACCACATATCCTTCCAGAACCTCTCCCTCATCCCATCCCCCACCTTGAACCCTACCCACTTCCAAAACTCCACCCTCCCCAGCCAAATTCTTTTCCACACCCCACATCTGTAAGTACATGACACATTCCTCGAGAGAGATCCTTGATAGAATAATTGAATGCAACATTGCCCCGCGCAGGGGGGGCAGCATATAGAAACTTGACAGAATGTGTTTGTGGGAGGGAGACACTCATTGGCAACTAGACAGAATCCGAGAGTCCACACACTCATTGGCAACCAATACTGCATCAAGTTTCTATTGTTATCCATAATTCATGTTACCTATAGGTTGTGGTGTGTCAACTTTCGTTTATTATGCTTCTGATTATGCCGAAAGCTCCCCATGTTTGAATAATTGAATGCAACATTGTGGTCTTTTCTTAATTTCGACACTGATACATACTTAGGAATGTAGTAATAGGTGTCATATCAGTTTTGCCATGGACTACTAGATTTGTTATGTTCATCAAAAATAAAGAATTTAAATTTAGTGAAATGTCAAATTTGTTCCTGCATGCAGGATTTTTTTTTTTTGGTTTGCATGTTCGGGATTTCTTCCAATGAAAAGCTGTACAAGTGAATATTGACCCGAGGGCACAACAAGATGGTGGATTTGATGGCCATGGATTTTTTTTAATTAGTTTAAACACGTTCGTAATTTCTAAGCTTATTTCTTTTAATGGCATTAAGTGAGAAAAAGGGGATAATGTACTACTAATGATTATGTAAGACCTTAGATTTTAAAGATTTGAGCAATCTCATCATTGTCTAATGAAATCATGCATGATGTAGTCAATAATATTTTTCAATTAACTCTCTTCAAACAACAACAACAACGACGACGCCCAATTAGCACATATTAATTTTTAGCCTTAGATTTTAACTTTCTTTTCAATGCCTATTTATTTAACATAGCTTAATTATATGATTTCTTATGCGGCTTTATGTGAACAAACTGCAAAGGTTCTTCAGCTCATGGAAGTCAGAAGGAATTGAACCAATCTTTTATAATGCTAATTCACTTATTGTATTGATGGATGCATTTGGTAATTCTCGAAGGCATTTGGAAGCATTGTCCTTTTTTTAACACTATGTGAAAGGAAGTGCATGACTTTATATTGCTTTTCCTATTTAGTTCTAAGATATTCCATTACAACTCAAGACAAATTGTTTTGAAGGAAAAAAACCAGTTATCTACAGTACACTTATGAAGGCGAGGAACCTTGACTAGGTGTCCTATCTTTTTAGTTTTAATACAATAGTTTGTTTTGCCTCTTAGCTTTTGTCGGCAATAGTCTGTTTGGATTGTTTGGATTTTCTCAAGTGTTACATTTTTTTTGAATAGTTTTTTTAACCTTTTATGGGGAATCACATGTACTTTGATCACAAAAAAATTGTTCAGAGTGAATGTGATAATTGCTGGTTTTTAGTTTGATAATTACAAGTAAATTGGGGAAGACACTGGTGCTTTTATCAAGAAGAGTTATGTTAGAAATTTTTTTATGTTCAATTTCTCTTAATTCATAGTTATTGGTTTTTTTTGTTTCTCATAAATATTTTGAATGATTTTTCTTGTTATGATTTCTCTTAGTTGATTTTTTAAAATCGAATTCAAGCGTTGGAGTGATTTTGTTATAGGTGATTGATCCGCATTAGAAACGATGTGGTTGTGTTGTTCTTTTCTACGTGTGTTAGTGGTTGGTGTTTCATTCTTAACTGGATGATTAGTTTTCTTGTTTTTAATAAGCTACAATGATTATTCTCTCGTACCAAAATGTTCATTCACCATTCCTCTTATGTGTGAAGTTTGTCATTTTGAATTGATTTGTTATAATAGAGCTCTATAGAGCAGTAAAATTGTTGTCATTCTGAATTGATTTATTTTAATTGAGTTCTATAGTGCAGTGAAATTGCTGTCATTTTGAATTGATTTATTTTAATTGAGTTCTATAGTGTAGTGAAATTATTGTCATTTTGAATTGATTTATTATAATTGAGTTCTATAGAGTGGTACCAAAAAAATTGTTGAGTGCACCTTTAAGCACAGGTTATCCCTGGTATATCTATATAATAAGGCAGAATAGTTTTTGAATATGTCCTAGACACATTTGTCCTACTACACCCCACATCTATAA